ATGCTCTTAAGATTTGTGCAGTGTGTGTATGCTTGTGTGTGTGTGTGTGTGTGTGTGGGTGGGTTGTATCTACTATGTCCCTTTCGGTGGGGATGCTCAATGCTGTGAGGATAGAGACGAATATGCCAAACGAGGCCCATAAGACCAAAATCCTGCTTTGTCTTTCGCAAGGCTAGCCACCTCATGTGTTCATCCTGAACAACACTATACCTCAAACGACAAGCAGTGAAGATTTATGAGAGATATATTTCCAAAATATTCCCCGCCTGGTCCCTCCAAATGGACCGCATTTCATTAGGTCATGCTACTTCACAGAATGACCCACTTTGAATGAACTATGGGGCCGGCATTTTAAGGTTAGTTGAGGATGGATAGGGTCGTCGTAGCTACCGGCAGTAGCGAGATCTGGATATACGGAAGGGCAAAAGTCCCGGGTATGCCTCGACACAGAGTCTATTGCCTAAATGTCGTTGAGGTAGGGGAAAGCCGGAAGCATACATAGAATCTATGAATATTCTGTAAAACTGTGCAGGCATGCCAGCTTACATGGGGCTCCAGCTGCGTTTCTAAAGCGAGAAAGTGAAACTGCCAAGTCAGCATGTTTGTCGATGAATCACAGGGCCCATTTTGCAGCGAGATGATGCTGAAAGAAATTTTATCCTAACTTTCAGAGACTACACACTTCACTATCAAGTGCATGCGCCGGGCCCAGACTCCCACCGGTTTGGAGTGAGGATTTTTTTGGGCAAAACAGTCTCAGGAAATTTTCATTGCCTGAAGTATTTATACCAATTTATGCTGTTAGCCACAAGGGTCTGTCGTCTTTGTTCAAGTATGAAAACACCGTCTCAATAAAAACTCTTCGGTTGCCATGAGGGCAGATCAATAAAGCATCTGATCTCGTCTCATTTTTTCGGTATTTTCAATCAAAAACCGAAAATAACCAACTTGCCAGCATCAATGCAGAAAGGAATCTGGCAAGGAAGAAGGGGCCAGCCTATCTACTACCTTGTTTTCAGTCATAAAACCTCTCCGTGAGTTGCATCCATCTAAGTCTGAATGCCTCAGGTTCAATGTGGGGTCAATCTTCAAAGCAGGGTTTCAAAGAATGAGGATGCACACCGCGGCGACGAACGGTTTCAGAAAATAAATCATCCCATAAGGCCGGGGAATCCGCCTCAAATGCCTGTCTACACTCGCCCTCCCTCGAATCTGTGGGGCAGTATTTTTGGCGAAATCATTTTTCTGAATGCCAGCATTGGTAAACAAGCAAACGCAAACCGAGTTGAAGGCGAACACCCCTCAATAGAGTTGCAAGAGTACCACAGAAAGCGTTTATCAACCCCATACTTGCAAGCACAAGTGAGCCAAATGTTCAACAGGTTTCATCGTTTTTCGTTTGGTCTCTGCTACACACAAGACATCGAAGGAAATTTCAGTACCTCCCAAAAGACTGCGGTTTCAAATTCACTCAGGTCTCATCTCGATGAGAATTGACACAGGAGCTTAAGTTGTGCCGAAAAGATTCCAATTTATCTGATTTCGGCTCTATACACTTGTTCGACTGACATCGTATTATTATCATTTGTATGAGTTTTTGGGAAGAGAGCTCATCAGGACGATCTCGAGGCTGCCAGCTTGAGAACCGATGAAAGGAAAGAGACCCACTGTTTGCTTCGACACTTGATTGGGCAGAAAAAATATCATCGATGCTGAGAGTGGGTTTCTAGATCATTATAAACAAATGAATATAAATTTGACCACATAAATTGATTTGCCGATTAATAGTTGTATTGTTCTCATTTATTATGAAAAATACAATGCAATCCTATAAGTCTACCATGAAGAGGAGATTAGGATAATGCAGAATTAGCGATAAATATGCATACTACTTAAGCAAACTCGGGACAAGCCGGGAAGCCACAGGATCTAGCGTCAACAACAGGAAAGATAATTAAAAATATGAAATTAAGAGAAGACGATTGCGGTGAGTATAGCCAATTCGAGGCCAGAAATACAACTTTTGGGGGTCTGGCGCAAGAGGGAATATAGAGAGTTTCAATCGCAGCTGTCATAGGAATTGGCTAGTACGGATAGAACAGAGCAGAGCCATTTCGACCGCAGATCCATTCGAGATGCAGCAGAGGCCAGAGATTAGAGTCCTCAGTTAGATCAGAGTAGACGGGTTGAATCATGAAGGTGGACCGTGAAGACAATGTCTGATCGTGATATCAACCTACTTCACATGTCGAAATGAGATACGAAGAAACACAGTGTCAAGATGGTCTATAGTGAAAGGGTGGATAGAGCGGATGGAGCAGAATGAAGCAGTCAACTAAAGACAAAATAACGAACAGATCCCTGAGAAGGGGCAGGAGATTTGGATTGTAGTTGGATGAAGTTATCGAAAATATTTAAAACAAGAAGTAATAGTCACTCTTTTAGTCCCAGTATCCTTTGCTGTATACAGGTGGAATGCCCTAGTTATCCTAACATGACCCTGTTGCCATGGTTGTTAAGTTGACCTTGTCCGAAGGCCTCTGTCATAGTAGTCAGGACAAGTTCCAGAAAAGGAAAGTGAATTTGCTACATTCCCAGAACTAGTTTACATACTGAAAGTTCCGAACCGGGTTAATGCTACTAGCACATGAGGGGTAAGACGAAACCAGCGGGATCTGTAATAACGTCTCACACAATTCATTGTGGAAATAATCAAATATCAGTCCTTAACTCATCTTACGTGACTTATGGTGATGCAAGGTGTAATTTATGGTTAGTAATAGTCACGAAAACGAATTATACCGCGATAACAAGAAAGATAACCCATGGCAGAAAAATGATCGTTGGGCTTACCTCCAGTTAGAATGAAATTGTTTGCTGAAGAGCTACGAAGGTCGATCCCACCAGAAGGTGACTACGGATTCCTCTTGACTAGCTATCGATTAGCTTTACTGGAACATACTTGCCGAAGCCGTTTCCGAGG